AACATATGAAAATGAATAAATGAAATTCACCACTTAATGAGAATTAAAGATAAGAGTCACATGATCATTTGAATAGATGCCTAAAAGGCCTTTGATAAAATCAAACACCCATTCATGTTAAAAATGATGAAAAAATTAGGAATAGAAGGACATTACTTCAACATCATATAGGCCAAATAAAAATATATGAAAACTGTTCAACATCTGTAACAATGAGGGAAATCAAATGAAAACTATGCTAAAATTTTATCTGCATTTTGGATTTGGAAACAAGCCCAAAGCCAACACCATCCTGATATTCAATGGAGAAAAACTAAAAGCATTTCCTCTGAAATTAGGAACTAGGCAAATTTATCCACTCTCACCACCCCATTCAGTATAACACTTGAAACATTAACCATGGTGATCAGACATGAAAAGGAAATCAAAGGAATAGAATTAGGAAAGGAATAAGTAGAAGTACCTCTGTTTGCCTACAACATGATCCTATATCAATAAGACTCAAAAAATACCATAAAAAGACTTCTAGAGCATAGAAATCAGTTTAACAGTGTAGCAGGATACAAGATCAATACCCATAAATCATTAGCTTTCCTATACTCCAACAGGGATTCAGTTGAGGAAGAAATCATGAAAACAAACCCCTTCATAGTAACTTCAAAAAATTAATCTAACTAAGGAGGGAAAAGAGGTTGGCAATACAATTATAGAACACCAAAGCAAAGAATTGAAGATGACCTCAAAAGATGAAAAAACATGCCATCTTCAATATGCAGAATCAATATGATCAAAATGCCCAAAATACCAAGAGCAATATATAGATGCATTTCAATCCTCCTCAAAATATCAATGATATTCTTCACAGACCTAGAAAAATATCAATTCAATTGGAAAAATCAGAGACCCAGAATAGCCAAAGCAATACTAGGCAAGAAACGTGAAGCATGAGACATCACAATACCTGAACTGTAATTACATCCAAAACTGTAGTAACTAAAACAGCATGGTATTGGCATCAAAATAGACATGAGGACCAATAGAATAAAATAGAAGACCCAGAGAGATATTCCCATATCCATAGCTGTCTGATTTTTGACAAAGGCACCCAAAATGCCTCTTGAAAAAGACAGCATGATAAAACAAATGGTTCTGGGGCAACTATTAGGTATCTGTAGAAAAATGAAATAAGACTTTTCTTTCACACCTTCCACAAAACACACTTGAAATGGATCCAAGACTAGGAATTAGACTAGAAACTGTACAACTGCTGGAAGAAAACATAGGTTCAATACTCCAGTAGGTAGTTGCTGACACCAACTTCCTTAATGAGACCCCCAGTGAATAAGAAAAAACAAACAAGTTTCAAGAAGTGAGATGCCATCCAACTGAAAAGCTTCTGCACAGCCAAGGAAATGATTAAGAGTGAGAAGAGAGAGGCTACAGAACAGGAGAAAGTCCTGGCCTGGTAATCCTACAATAGGGGATTTATATCCAGAATACACAAAGAACCCCCACTCCCACAAAGCATCCAGTCAATAAATGGACAAAACGAAAGTTTCTCAAAAGAAGAAACACAATGGGCAACACATATATGAAAAA